TAATATGCATAAATACATACAAATATACATACATACATATATACATCCATATCTATCTATCTATTGATAATATATATTAAAAATTTAAAGCTTAAGCTTTTAAAAAACTTTTTATGTGCACACAGTTCTAATGTGAGAATGTTAATAAATAAAGACGCCAACTTTTTTTTTTGGCGTGTTTAAATATACAAATAGCAATTTGAAATTGTTTTTATTCTCATAAAAAACTATTCAATAATCAGTTGGTCCATTGATAAATTCTTCAAGTAGTAAATCTTTGTACACACAATTGATACTAGACTCATACTTCATTTTAAACCAGAAGAACAGTTGCTTGACTCAAAACTGTGACAATAACCTGTAGTTCTTAAAATATATTTTTTCACCAATTTGATATATATGAAAATAACATTCCATTTGTTGACAAGAATTGGGGTAGAGCAGTGATACCACAGAGGTAGAATTAACTTCTAATAATAATAATCCAATGGACATGGACTAATATATAAAAAACATGTTACATATAAAAAAGTACAATAAATGTTTTAAATAAACTGCACATACATACCAGATTAAATACAAAAACATACCAGTTGCTCTGTGCGTAGGTTATTAAAATAATATGCTATATTTTTACACCAATTTAATGCTAGACTTATATTCCATTCCTTAACCTGAGCGGAGGTTTTCCTGAGGTAAAATTAACTTCTGAAGATAAGAAAAGAATTGCCCTACAATATATAAAAGCAATATTACATATAACAAATAATTTAAACAAACATTACTAGAACAGAATAAAATTCTTTAAATTATAAATCAACGATCGCTTTTTTTTATTTATTTTTTTTCAATTTTTAAAAAAATATTGAAACTAAGTTTGATGACCACAAACAAGACAAAGGCCTTTTCTATAAAAAGAATTTTTGCCTCGCTTAGAACACACAACACACTTTCTCACCTTAGAGGCTTGAAGCTTACTATCAGCTTTGTTGTGCAATTCAAAGCGTTTTAAAACAAGACGCATCTTCTGTTCCTGATTTCTTACTGAATGCAACTGTCCTAATTTCTTATTTACACTATTATGCAAACACTCTCCCTCCTCTTCACTCAGCAACCCAATAGTTTTATGCAATTTTACAAATAGTGGCACATTAAAATGAGTTCATGCATTTTTCGAGTGATTCTTTCTTTTGGAAAGTAATCATGAAACTCGATAGCAAATAAATTTGTATATTGATGAAGCTCAGTAATTTTGGCATCAGAATGAAATTTTTGCTTAAAAAGAATAGGTTCCAACTTATTAAAAACACTAAACACACGCACAAATCTATTTTTAATAGCTTTATCATCAATAACACTACAAAGTTTATAGTGGTTTCTCAAGACTATTTTGCAATGATTACCTACAAACACATTACCATGGTACGCTTGTCGCTCAACCTTCATATCTTCAAGGGCCTTATTAAGAGACCTCTCATGAGCCCCCATGCTACTTTTGGATATTTTTTCTAGGGCTTCACACTCCATCTGCAATTTAATATATTCAGTGTCTAAAACTTCGCGTTGTGCACGAATAAAAGAAATTTTTTCAGAAATATTAAGGTCAAGACATTCTATATCTTCACCCTGACACGCTAAACACTCGTTCATCTCTATGTCACACAATACACTCTTTTCTGAGTCACCAATAATTTCACAAAGTTGATGAAACCATTTTTTGCACGTAACACACTGCACCCAATCAACGTTACAATCATGTTTAGTAATTAAACACCTGATACTAGCACACATTTCTTGCTGTTTACAGTTTTTTTTATTATTGGAAGAGTTTAGGGCCAACCATCGCGCCTTTAGATTGGCAATGTCTACAAATTGATTTCCTAATAAACGCAAAGTTTCTGCTGTTTTAGAACATTCAACGCTTTTAGCAGCCCACAATTCATTCGTTCTCACATTCTCATTATGCGACAAAGACGATTCAGCTTGACAATCTAAAGTCTTACACTCCTTCAACAATAACTTTACAGTTTTAACACAACTCCTAACATAATATGTAAAGCAGGTGGCACTAAATTATTTAAAGTTATTATGGGGAATATCACAGGAGCAATAATTAATTTATGAAACTTACCGAGAGCTCTTAAGTTTCCACCTTGTCTATTTTCACACAAGTTCTCATTGTAAGCACCTTCCAGAGATTTTATTGTCCTCTTTAAGATGTTACAATTAGCAGGTGTGTTAGGCATAGAAGCATGGTTTCTAAGAGATTTCAATTCAACTAGATCTGTAGAACTAGGAAAGCTAGCAGCTGAACCCTGGTGTCCCAGAACATCATCGATGAAATGAAAATCTCCACCTAAGAACAACCTGACTATTTTGCCTTTTAGCTTAAAATCTGGTGACTGAATTCTTTTAATGTCGTTGGCATAATGCCCAAGAATTAAGGCAATATTCTCACAACAGTCTGAACCCTGATACATACAAAACAAATGAACATCATATACAGACCCTGACGATTTAGAATTGACAACTTCAAAATGGAATTTCATATACTTTCCACCCTTATCCCCTGCAAAAAGGAGCCATACCTCTTCGCCAAAACCAACATCAGAACTAAGGTGGTCGCGTACGTGAAGACTATTAAAAACCTCTTCAATATAAATTATCAAATTCTTGAACATCAGTACAGATACTAAACAAGGTGCTTCATTCGCAGATGGATAAAGTAACATGGACTTCACAGTGACATGTTCTTTATTGAAATGCATTGTCCGCATTTCTTGTTCTTGTCTTATCTTAGGCTCAGATAGGAGAATCCTTGCACCAAGATTACACAGAATACATCTTAGTCTACGGAATTCAGCCGTGAGCATCCTTAATTGGCTCTGCAGCTCTATTGCATCAGAAACACTTAACTGAGTAACTAAACCTAACTTATTTGCAACACAATGAAATACTGACTTTTCACAAGACATAAGATTACAAAACAACATAGACAAATCACATTCTAAATCTGAACAAGCTAATAATTGAAGGAATATAAAAGCAAGTTTAGATTGTCTAGCTGCAACATGCCTACCTAACTTAGAATAAGGTTTACCATGTCCTAACTTAACGTAAGTATGCTTTCTCCCAACTATTGGCCTTTTAACAGATACAGTCTGTGGATTTCTTAATTTAAATCCACAGAACAATTCTGAAGATCCAATGTTGTCATAGTCTAAATAAAAATCAACAACAACTAAATCCTTATCACTGCTAAAAAAACCTTTGCAATTTTGCCAACTACTCTGGTTTATATTACTAACTTTTGCATTATTTTTTTCAAATTTAATTTTTTTGAGCAATCTTATTTTAATTTTTTTTTTTTGAAATAAGTTGGAACTGCTCCTCCTGTTTTAGCCTAATACTCATAGTGTCTAATTTAGAACTTAATGAGTTGCAATGTGTGTTTAAAGCCTTGTTTTTAGAATTCAAATCCGTAATTTCAGATTCCAACTTAAGTATCTGCATTTTTAATTGATCTATTTGCTCCACATAAGTTTCTTCTTTAGAAGTTAATTGGTCAACTTGACTTTTCTTATTCCTATTTAAAATTGAAAAATAATCTGCATCTGCTGATTTTCTTTTTTTTTGTTTGTGAAGCTGGATTTTTTTTTTGTTTGTGACAGTTGCATATTAAAAAATGCTTCGTTTTTAGAAGCTTCATAAATTTTTATAGAATCTTTTTTTTGTCTTAATAATTTTTTGCACATTTTTTTAAAGTCTTTGATAATAGGCAAATTAAACAATTTTAACAATGTTTATTTTTATTTTGTTTCATGTAAATATTTATTTAACGAAGAAAGATAGTTCTTTTATATTTTTTTAATTCGAAGATTAAAGCGTTTATACAAAAAAAATACAATTAATTTAAAGTTAGTGAATTTTTATACTTTTTATGCGGAAATTCTTTTTTTTTTTTTAAACACAAAAATTCTTGTGACGTCAAGCTCGCTTTTATATTAAGTGAAACAGCCATGATATATATATATATATATTATATATATATATTATATATATATATATATATATATATATATATATATATATATATATATATATATATATATTATATATATATATTATATATATATATATTATATATATATATATATATATATATATATATATATTATATATACATATATATATATATACATATATATATACATATATATCTTTAAAGTAATGTTTTGGGGCTAAAAAAAAATGCAATGCTTTGGGGCTGTTTTTCACACTCTGGCCCAGGATCATTGATTCCCATTAAAAGAATGATAAGTTCCAAAAAATATAAGGAATTACTAATTTACAAAATTACAAAAAACTAAATCAAGATTTGAAAAAAGTAGATGCTAGTGGTGAGGTGTAGTTTCAACAAGATTCATCATCTTGCCATAGGTCTAAGAAAGTAATAAAGTCCTTTTAAGAAACTAACGTAATAATAATGAAAATAATAATAAAAATAAGACTATTGGATTGACCAGGATATCCATCTGACCTTTTTCAAATTCAAAATTTGTGGACTATATGCAAACATCCAATAAGAATTTTTGACTGAACAAAAGAAGTATGTTAAAGGCAGCGATTCAGGTGTGATTTCATGAATAGCATGAAAAAATAATTAAAATCCATGCTAAGAAGAATATGCGTAGTAATAAAAATTAAGGGTGGACACACATTATTAAATATGTAATGTTTTGTAATAATTTTATGTTTTAAAATAATTAAATAATTATTTAATGTTTTTTGTGTTATAAAATGTGCTTATTTGTGTGCTTATTAAGGTGTTTTTTTCTGTTTTGAAAACCCATGTTTACATTAATTCTCACTCTACAGTGTATGTATATATACACACACACATGTAAATGCTATGTATAAAGGCCATTTATTATATATAAAAAAAAGGCAGAAAAATGTATTTACTTATTTATATAAAGTTGCATTAATTTTTTGAATAGCATGAAAATGAAGAAAAACCATCAAACAAAAGTTGTGATTCATTTTCTCATGTCAAGTAATTTTTTTTTAGTTAGAAACGTTTTCCTTTATTTGTAGTATCTATCTTTTTTTTTTTTTTTTTTTTTTTTTTTTTTTTTTTTAAGTGAAAATGAAAGGATAAAACATCTACTAAATTTGAAAGATTTATATCATTAAATATGTTACTTACTGAAACATCAAAGTTGTTAGGCAGTTTTTATTTGTGGTGTTTTAATTTTTTTAGGTTTAATGATGGTATTGTTAAGCATATTCAAATTACCGAATCAATGATAAATGAGTTTAAAAATAAAGTAACAGACCTTGTAAACAAATATGAATTTAGGTAAATTTTTTGATATAGTTTTAATTCAAAAATTTGTTCTTGAAATTTAAAAAATGTTATAAAATAAAAAAGATAACTAAAAACTTATTTTTTAGAATAAAATGGTTAAAAGAAGGCAGCAGAGCATTTTTTGGAAACATTCTAGAAAAAAAGGTATTTTTTAGGTTCAGATGATCATTGCATACCTGATCATTAGAATAAATACTATACTATTACATGTACTCTTGTAAGAGCATGCATTGAAGCTTTGTAAGAGCATCCTTTGCTAAATAGGTATGTGATAAGGTATACATGTGTTGAAAAATAGAATTTATAAAAAATTTGATAAAAAATTAATAAAATGCCTAGAAGCGCAAACAAACATGTATTAAGGACAATCAAATATTTTGAAGACTTTTATACATAGGCAACATAGAAAAAATAGTCACTAAACATATTTAATGTCTTAATTTATTATAGTTATCAGAATGTTTCAACTTGTCTTTAGCTTTAATTTAATATTGGTTTTGGAATGTCTCAATCTTAATGTTTTAATTTGATATATTAAATGTATTAATTTGAATGTATTAACTTGATATATTAAATGTATTAATTAAATATATTAAATGTATTAGTTTAATATATTAAATGTATTAATTTGAAGTATTTGATATATCAGAATGTCTACACAAAATTAATGTGTATAAAAAAAAAGTATATAAAGAAAATTAATAAATTTGCAGTGGGAATAAATTCTTTTTAATAGAATTTGTATTTACTTTGTTTCAGAAAATGTTTTATTTATTTTTATTGTTTTTATTATTTTTATTGTTTCAGAAAATGTTTTATTTAATTTTAGTTGTGTAAACTTTGTTTTTTATTATTTTAAAGGTTGTTCTTTTGGTAGATACATCATCATCAATGGAAGCCAAGTTATATCAAGTCAAAAAGGCTTTATGTAAAGTAATTCAGGTGAATGATCTTGGTGTCAGAGAATATTATTTTAATAAAAATCTATGCAATTTTAATAGAAATGTTGTATCAGTGGATTTAATACACATTTTTATGTGTAAAATGGTTTAAAATGATACAGTCTAACCCAGATTGTTTATCTAACAATTGT